GTTTTCAGTTGCATCAAACTTTCTGGAGTTAGGTATAAAAGACGGAAAGTATGTCAAGATCTGTATTCAACACAAACACAAAATACTGATTCTAGTATTTCTCATGAGTTCAAAGTCCTCGTAATTTAAAATTGAAATAATTCTCTATTTTTGGTTTCTTTTGGCTGTTCCTGTTTTCATGACTTTCCAAAGATTCTCAGTAAATAGGTCTCAAAGGTGTTGCAATTTAACTGGGATGTTTCTTAGTGGATTAGTACACACGAAAGAAGCTCAAGGCATCAAGTTTGATCCCTAGTTTCACAGAGTGATCCAGTTTAGAGTATGCCTTAATTATGCTTCTAAGAATTACATTGTAGTCTGTGGATTCATGTTCTGGAGTTATCCTTTGTCAATTAGTAAGGTCGATATGAATGATTGAAAATTGCTCATTTTATTTTATCTAAAACAATTTGATGTCAAATCAAAACACTAGATTATTTTAGCATTTATGTGTTAAATCAAATGGGCACAGCTAGTAAATGAGAAAGGGATAGAGAGAGAGATGATAGATTGATAGGTGACAGAGAGCGACAGAAAGGTATAGAGACAGAAGCAGATAGAAACAGACAGAGGGAAGGACTCTGTTTTATAGTCCACATAAGGACTATTTCTAAGTTTACATTAGAACCAGCATAAAATAATCATAGTACTTTATGTGTTATTTTTCACTTCAGATGAAAGGTATCCACTGAAAAATCCTTTATCTGTTTTTCTAATCTCTGAAGTAACAGTTAAATGTCTGTAGAATCTGTGACTAGTGTTTGCTTTTGCTCAGTAGCCATGTTTTCACTGTAGGATCAAGCTGACATCCTTCTAAGTGGTCTCCAATGGTATGCAGCAAGCACCCACTCTTGACATTTTCATTGTCAAAGAATCTTGACAATGTCAGGTTCCTTTCACAGCCTGTCATTGTCACTCACTAAGCAGTACTGTGATTGTTAATCCCTTAGAGATTTGTCTCCTTTATCACGGTCAACCTGTGGGAAATCAGAACAACACATTCTATGTCACTTAGGTATAAATGATAATAATATTCAACTATGTTTTTCAAATTTTAATGCATGATAATTTAAAAAAAAAGATTTACAGGTCACCATAATTTCTGTTATATTATTTTGTGTGTACTCTATTTAAAATATTTGAGAATAATGTAGTTAACTGTTGTGGAATCCATATTGGGTATATATAAGAATTAAAGGAATAAATTAAATGTTAAAACAATTATTAATAGTAGGATTAGAAATCATGCCATTCATTCATATACTCATTTTTTTGCAATTGAATAAAGAAAAAATAAGCATATTTTCCACGCACTTTCTATTTCCTGTCTTACTTATGAATTGTGTTTCAACATCTGAGTTGATTATCTTTCTTCTTTAGTGAGAGTGATATAAATTCCATTTTAATAGCATGTGCCTAAGAATAAACCAAAATGAATAGAAAAGTAAATGTTCGAATTCAAGGTGATATTTCAGAAGGAAACTTTAAATCATGGATGGAGATAGAAATTTAAAGTCAAATATTATTATGAATTTAAAAACAAAAGAGTAAATACATGTGACGACTGTAGATGTAGGTCATCACACGTTCGGCTTGACCGCTTGGTGTCATTACATAGCAATTTCCTGTGTGGCCTGCTGTTACCAGTCCATGCAGCCATAAACATGCGCTACCTAGCCTATGTTCCTTCATGATCTGCCCAAAACTGGGGGAGGGGGGGAATACCTTTGGCTAAGTCCATTAAAACGTGGTTGAATATTCTAAGTTATCAAAAACAAAGCAATATGAGTTTTTCAAAGAGCTTACGAATCCTTTTTTGACTTTTACCACTTTATATTTTTAAATACTCTTTGAGCTAGAAACAACTGATTATCTCTTTCAAGATGAAAGGGCTGTATCAGAATCATCTTTTCATTTTGATTGTCAGTAAAATAAAGAAAGTGCTTCTTGAGAAACTGAAGCGGAAAACCAAATTGATATCTTTTTTGTCTCCTTCCTGCAACCAAAATGGTCTAACGTTTTCTATTTATTAAAGCCAACATTTTCCCTTCTGTCTTAGAAGTAATTGTGGCAATAGCAGTGGATTTGTTAACGTGGAAGAGGAGTAACTTTGTTGGGTGCTACCATAGAACAATAGGCAACTACTAACTGTTGGGAGATGAAGTATTGTGCCCTTTTAATATGATCCTCTTAGTGATTAACCATAGTAGAGGGGTCAGCTTTGAAACCATTTACACACAAGAACATGATGAACTCATCAGCTTATATATGTATATATGTGTGTGTATGCATGCACAGACATACGAATAATAGAGAAAGGGGGGTATCAACTTGAGCGGTGGAGGCACAGAGAGGATTCAAAAGAGAGGAGCTGGGAGATGCTGGAGGGAAGGAAGAGGGGGAATCTGATGAATTCTATTTCAAATAAAATACAATTTAAAGTGATTATTGTTTTAAATATTTGGGGATATTCATTATGTAGAGGCAAAGTATATATGCATGTGTGTATTTATGTATTTGTTTATAGTGTTACAGATCTTGTAGAAAATGAAAACGCTTGAGATTATACCTTTACTAATTGTAGGCATGTCTTGTTCTGAAGCAGCCGCTTTTCATTTCTCATTTGTTCACGCTAATGGAGAAGGAGTATGCTATAAATAATGCAAAAATCACTTACAGCTGACTTGGTTATATATTGTATATTTTTCATCAGACTTAGTTCTTAATTGTTTGCTCTATTTATTACCTAAATGAGCTAACATCATGAGTCTTTAACAAATGATGATTGGTGGAGATGGCTAAGAGCCTTCCACGTAGTGAGAAATTCAATGTAGCATAAGAGACTTCCTGATAAAAACACTCGTGTGGTATGCTGACAGCTCTGTAGACCAAGAATCTGACAGACTGGTGCTCTGCAGAGATGGGAAAATAAGTGTTATCTTTCCACAGCTATTCAAGCAGACTTTCAGTTACCATTTTTCCTTTAAATTGACTATCTTAAATTTTTCACTTATTGTGTTTTAAATATGTAAGATAAAGGGAGGTTATTTGGAGTGTTTTATCCCAGTATTCTCTTGACATGGTACCTTTGGAAAGATCACATCTGTCCAGTTATTTCACATTTGCCTGGGATAAGATAAAGAGTCCTGTGTAGAAGAGTAAGGTATCTAAATTTATTGAATATGAAAATGAACTCTAATGTGGAAGCAGGTTGGAATAATATCTTTTAAGTGAGGCATTATGAACTTTTAAAACCCAAACTGTCATGGTTTGTAGTAAAATAATAAAGATATCCATTTTAATTGATTCTTTTCATTGTTTAATAAAATTGCTTTGTTTGATTGCTGAAGAATTTGAATTGAGTTTTCATTACCCACTTCTGAACAATTTCCTCTGAGATGCAGACAGTATTGAGCTAATGAGTTTGAATTTATATTGAACTTTAACTATCTTCATGAAGTAAAGGAAAAATATCATGGCAGTAACTAAGTAGTCTTCATTGAAAAGTATGTCGTAGAGATTTTACAGCACTGCTTTTAGTAGAGCTCAAGCAGTAAATGGGAGTTTTACCAACTTTGCTGTTTCCATCTTTTTGATAGTTTTGTCTACTTTAAAATAAACTCATAAGGTAGCAGAAAAAAATAAAGGATAATTTTATTTTAAAATGTTCTAGAAGAATGTATTCATGTTACCAAGCTAATCTGAAGACAGGATTTGTAAATTGCTTCTAAGAAATCTTTCCAAAGAGCTAGAATATTTGAACATTGTCCTAAATATTGAAGTCTCTGTCCTCCAATGTATAGTTAGCTTTGACAACTGATACTGCTCCAATCCAAAATTTGCATTTCTTGTTGTTTGAAAGCCAGTGATGTACCCATTCACACTCCTTTGTTATGTCGCTTTGATATTGTATTTCGTAAAATGATTTTTGGGTTTTTTGTTCATTGCCTAACCAAGTTCTGTTCTTAGGAATCCATTTTTTTTTTATTTGTTGTTGGATTAAGTCATGCACTTTAACTTAATCTTGATCAGGTTACCATTTACTAAAAGACTAGCTTTGCATTGGGTAACATCTATTCTACTCTGGTTCAAAGGAGAATTTGTTGTACGGCAAAGATGATTTATTATTAACTTGCTTAGTTCAAACAGGATTAGACTTTACAAGTAGGTTAAATGTTTCAAAATGATTACTTTGCTGAAATTTGACATCCTGTCTAAGAAATAAGAAAACAATGAGCAAACACAGGTCAGGGAAAAGTTTTCTTACTACAGCTACCTTCCCTTCAAGCCAAATTGCTAATTCCCTAATGTTAATCCTTCTCAGATCTCATTTAAAGTTAGTGTTTGGATGATTTGGATTAATATTATATCCAAATAATTTATATTCATTCCCCACAGGCAGCAATGGTGGTTCTTGGGATAAGGAAACACTGCACTCTTCCCCATCCCAGGGATCTCAGGCGCCTGTTACACATGCCCGCATGCCTGCTGCGTATAGCCTTCCAGTTAGTCATCCTCTCAACCATCTTCAGCACAGCCACCTTCTGCCAAATGGTACGATGGCAATTTTTAGCACTAAAAGTGGTAGTTTTAAGATTTTTTTCTTTAATGATTAGCAGAATGATAAAAGCATATACTGTATTCACACAGTTAATCAGTGAAAACTATAGCATGTCTCTAATTTGTTACATTTCCCGGAGAAATAATAGAGCCAAGAATAGAATATATGTATATATTAAACACATACACACAAACAGGCACAAACAATGATGTGATGAATTATGGCAACAAACTGTAAGCTTAACTTCCCAGTCATGAGTGAATATTACTGTATACGAATAAACTTTTTTCCTTGACCATCACTATTAAAGTATTTTTCAACAGTTTAACCCTTAATGACATGTCAATGATAATTCCAACTGCAGTGCAGCAATGATGATCTATGTATTTTCTGCTTTTAGGACTGGAGCTTCCTTTTATGATGATGCCCCATCCTCTAATCCCTGTAAGCCTACCTCCAGCATCTGTCACCATGGCGATGAGCCAGATGAACCACCTTAGCACCATTGCAAATATGGCAGCAGCGGCACAAGTTCAAAGTCCTCCGTCTAGGGTGGAGACATCAGTTATTAAGGTAGCTGTCTCATCGCATCGTTGTTTTGGATATTCATCTTAAATTACCATCCTTTTGTACATTTGGTTTATTCCTATCAGTAAATCTCACCTCTAAAAGTTAAAGATTATCAAATAGTCTGTGAGTGTAAATGAAAAAAAAAAACTACATGTAGTAAGGGGAGATATTTAAACTAGCTTGAGCAAATTTAAATTCTTGCTTAATAGTAAGAACATAGGGGAGTGAGTTAAGTAAGTGATATGGTTCAACTTATCTTGGCTCTTAAACACACAGATGTTTATATATTGTTCTATCAATAGTCTACTAAGCCTTTAGGTATGGATAATCAGACAACCTTGGGAGCGAAATTCTGTTGCTTATTAAACATATCACATTGGAAGTATAAAACAATCTTTCTCATTGTAGCCAGCATCTAAAATATGAATGTTTCAGTATGGATGCATTGTCTAAACGGTGTGTAAAATAATGTAATGGAGAGTAGGCATGTCTCATATAATTTTCAAAGTATAAATATCGGATAAGGAGAGGAATCAAATTGCATTGCTGAGCATAAAGATTAGCTACTAAAATCCACTCGCTGGGAGCAAGCCGGTGAGGTCACATTTCCTCAAAAAACATTTTGCCATTATTACACTTATTACTTTTTGAAAACTTAGCACTAAGAATATGACATGTATAAAATCTCATAGAAATGACCTTTGAAGTAGAGAAAAAAGTCTTTGAAGAATGCTTATTCTTATGATGTATGCTATTTTAACACTTATAATACTAGTTTTAATTATAAGAAGTTGGGGCTAGAGAGATAACTTAATGTTAAGAGCATGCACTTACTGCTCATGGAGAAAAACCTGAATTGGTTCCTAGCACCCATTTCAGGCATGTTACAATTCCTGTAACTCAATCTTCATGAGACCTGACCCCCTCTTCTGGACTCTGGCAGCACATACACTTGTATATACACAGACAGACACAAATTTACCTGTAACATAATTAAAAATAAGCTGTTTTTATAAAAAGATTCAATTATTCTTGTTTCAAAAATCACATAGTATACTTATATAACTTTCAAATGTAAGCATCCTGCAATTTCTCTTTTAGGTAAGATATAAAAATAAAATATCTAGGGCACAGATTTAGTAGTTTAAAAGTAGAGTTATAAATTAGGAGGTTATGCCTTATATATTTTGAATTAGAAAGCATGGACTAATATCAGGAGACTTGGATTACGACTCTTTTCTGTATACATGCAGTTGTCTATGTAGTGAATCATGTTAACTGTAATACTGCAATCTGGAAGCAGCTTTTAGTAACTGTGTTTAATTTGAGATAAGTAGGAGGAAGAAGTTAATTTTCCTCTGGAATTGTCTTTAGAAATCTACCCATAGCTATATTGTTACAAATTCAGAAATATTTATGTGGTTTCTTGATCTACGTTTCAGAATGCAAAGGAAGGAGATCTAGGAAGGAAGGAAATGTTCAAAGAGGGGACAACAAAGTAACGGAGCTTTACTTCTTCAAAAGCATGCCAACACCTACTAAGTCATGCTGATATCCCACTTCCGCGTCTCTTGGGAAAAATATTTTCAGAAATTGGCAACAAATAGAGTTAAGGAAGCTCTGGATCATGGTATAAATCATGATGCTAACAAGGACAGGAGAAACATTGCTATAGTTGAGATTAACTGTAGAGAGCAGACAGTTCCCACTGCACTATCAAAGGAAAGACCAACTGGTTTGTAGAACTGCTGAAAAACCCATCTTCAGAGAGCTTCTTTCCTGACAGACAGCATTCATTTTACATCTAAAACCTGGGTATGCTCAGTGACAGAACCAGGTTCTAAGCTAATGATCAAAGCTTCTGAGTGTGATATTAGTACGCTCCCTTGCTCAAATCTTGTTTAGGAAACTTACTTTGTCTTACTAATTAAATGGAGTTTAGGGAAGTTTTATTTTCTCCCAAAGAAAATGGCTGACAGAGATGTCACATTGAACATAATGGACCCCAGTGTGTAATTAGAATGGTGCCTTAACTTGATTTGCTTGACAAGATTCTAGATGTAAAGACCAGTTGAAAGTAGAACGTTAAATACTAAAGAATTAACTCCATATCAAAGACATAGCTACTGAAGAGAAAACAGAAATGCGAAGGATTGTCTACATGCTGAACAAGTAATTCATATTTTATAATTGATGATAAGACTTAATATTAAGCACAAACTAAGGGACAATGGAAGTAAAAATTTGTTGTATAAAATAAAAGTGAATAATGTACCTCTCAGGATATTATATTATAAAAGATTCCTCTATTCCTTATTTTTTACAAAACAGAATGCCCTGATACTTTTCTTCAACGACATACTGACTAGTGCTATCAAATCGGACCAGAGTCTCAACCTATGAGTTGTTGCCTCAGGAAATAAAATCGATCCACTGTTTACCTAATATGTTCCTTGAGTAGAAATGCCTTTTCATATGGAAGTGGTTAAAACTAAGATAACATTACTGTATCATAGATGTAAATTTTATAAAGCTGAACTTTTAACTTGTATAAATAAAGATAGTTTGAGGCAGACATACTCCTTTTTTTAAAAAAAATGGATAATGTCTATGACTGCTTTCATGTGCAAAGACAGTGTTAGGTAAAACTTGTTATCAGGGGCTGAGAATGTCACAGTTCAATTAGAAGATTGCTTGCCTAGCATCACAGGAGTTACTCACCAAGCAACACACACACACACACACACACACACAGTGCTCCCTCATCCTTGATATAGAATAGTTTGTTTCGACAGCAGATGTCTGATGACTTAATTTCTTGTGAATGTTGTGTTCTTGTGGATAATTGTGACAGTTCAAAAGTAAAACAAAAGAAATTCAAATGCTGTAGAGACAGAAAGAGAAAAATTTAAAGCCACTGAATATTCAGAATTAAAAACAAATGTCAAGGAAAACATAGCTAGATGAAGACCCTAGAGCAGTGACATTGGTTTTAGAAGTGCTCAGAGACTGGAATGGTTTATTTGGGCAAATTTAAAGAAAAAATGGGCAAATCTGTTAAGAAAATCAGAATTTTACCTTAAGTTCATAAGACCTATGCATTTATAGATATACACTAAGTGACTGAAAAATGTATATGAGTCGATTATATCAGTGAGGTCAATGTGTTTTTACTGTCACCATTTACTGAATATAAAGTGACAATAAAATTGAGATTTTTGTGTGGTTTTAGTTACTTTTCTGACTGTTGTGATAAAATACTCTACCATAACCACGAAGAAATGAAAGGTTTCTTTAGGCATACAGTTTGAAGGTTGGACATGAGAAGGAAGTCATGGCAGGAAAGCTGAAGGAAGCTTGTCATATTGTCTCCACAGAAAACTGTGGTGAGTGCTACTGCTTAGCTAGTCCCTCTTATTCAGACTGGAATCCAATTCCAGGCTATAACACTCCTCGTATTCACAATAGGTCTTCAACTTCTGCTAAACAAGCCTAAATACTTCCTCACACACATTTTCAGGACTTTGTTTCCATGGTGATTCTACATCCCCTAAAGTTTATCACCAAGGTTAACCAATACATATATCATGCAATCCAGTTTCCTCTGTGGTTGAGAAACATTTTCCGACAGCTTCCCCGTCTACAAACAGACACAGAGATACAGATAGAGACACACACACGAGCTGAATGATGCTTAATTTCAGCAAAATAAACATTGTGGAACATATATATGTATATATATATAATTCAAATTTATCTATTAATCAAATTGAAAATTGTATTTTGATATTAATTTAAAAATATTTTTTCAGACGAAGAATTTCCACTGGTTCTTTTTTTTTTTAAGTTTTTTTTTCCTTTTACACAATGAAACATAAAAAAGTATTTAGCTGACTTCTACACCATACATATTCCAAACTTCTTTTATTTTTTTCACTCATAAGTGGTTTTTATTTATTTTTTAAGAGTGTATGGTATCTCTGTCTCCAGACTATGTATTCTAATATTTTCTAATAACATTTAAGTGATTTTTGAGTTTCCTGAAGGTGCCCTCTACCTCTGTATAGTACTGTAGAAGTAAACTGATCAGAGCCAAGAACCTTGACTTGGACATAAACCACAATTTATACACAGTCTACAAATATAAACACGAGTCCTAAGATTTTTTGTTTGTCATTTGTGGGAGTAGGGAGTCTGGTATCTTTCCCAGAATACTTCACAAACATCCTACTATGTCAATTTTTTTCTTAATCTGTTGTTTTCCTTGTAAATTTGTGTTTACCTACTTTTCAAAAATTTAAGTTCTAGTCCCTTGATTTAGAATCTATAGATATGTTGAAATGAAACACCCCAAAACTCTCTAATAGACAATTCATGCAATTTCTATATGATTTCTAAATTTTAGGAGGTTTTCCTTTATTATATTCAATCATGAAGTCAAATAAGCAATCTAAATCAAGAGATTCATTCCTTTTTATCATCAGCAAGCTCTTTAGTGGGTTGGAATGCGTTGCTAATTGATTCTCTTGGGATCCTTTAAACCCATCCCTCTAAGACCCCTCAATGAATCACTCTTCTGATTCCATTTTATTTATTACATATGGAATGATATCAACGATTTTAAAAACTCTTTCTTGCTGAAATACATATATTTAGTAGTTCAAACATGTTGCCTGGAGTAGGATTTCAGGGTTTAGGGTTTTTGTTGTACCGCCTCCCAGGCTCATGCTGAGTTGTTTAACATCTAACCTAAAAACAAAATTATAAAACAACTGACTTCCTGCTGAACAGTAGTGGTGCACACCTTTAATCCCAACACTCAGAAGACAGAGACAGGTAGACATTCTTGCATTTGAGTTCACCCTGGTCTGCACAGCAAGTTCCAGGACAGCAACGGCTACACAAAGATACCCTGTGTTAAAAAAAAAAAAAAAAAAAAAAACAAAACCAATTGGCTTATTTGGAGTCCAGTTCATATTTAAAAGAAAGCAGAAGTAAATAAA